ATTCAATCTGTGGACCTCAACTTTTTTACTTTGAAACATGGTTAAGAACAAAAATAAATACTATTAAACATATACTTTCCAATACAAAATTTCAAGAAGTTAAGATACTAAAAAGTTTCAAACATGCTTTTGGAGGGCCTGCTGAGGCTTGTCCACACCAAAGTTCTCTCAATAATCCTAACAGGAAAGTTATCTGTAACTGCAATAACAAACCCTGTTTAAGCAATTTCAATTGTTTACTGAAACAGTAATCATTGGCATTACAGACTTGCTTCTGGGAGACACATTAAAAAAAAACAACAAAAACACCCCAAACAAGTGGGACACGTACCCAAGGAAAGTATTCCAGCCAAGTGATGAGAACAGCACTAACTTGGATGCAGGCTAGTATTTCAATGGCATTGGTACAGCCACTATGAATGCACTGTATCAGCTGTACTTCAAACAGCTCTAACAAGGTTTATGTTGTTAATAAGTCAATCAGCCAAAGGAGACTCTCTAGGTTAAGAATATACAGATTACTTAAGACTGAACAACTGAAAAGACTGCTTGCACTCTCCTTTTCATGCACTCCAATATGGCTGTTGAATCTCCCAGCTGTTATACACGCAGTTAGAAGCATCCAACAGCTCATCCTTACTTCTCTGTGCTGACTATTTGGAGGGATGAGAGACCCTCATGCCACCAATTCTAAGGCTTTACCTGTATTTGGAAGTCTTTAGAAGCAAGTATTCTGCAAAACTTCAGAGTAGAAGCTGCTCACACCCCTCCTTTCCTCATTGCTTTTCTTTCTGCTGTTGCTATTTCTCAGAGCTTCTGGACCAAGTATGGCCTTTATTAAGAGGAGTGCTTTGAGTATAATTGTAATGAAGCTTAGTCTTATAATGGTGTGCAATTTTACAGAGTATCCAGAAATATTATGACTTTTAATTTCTTGTTTTTGTCTGAAGCATAAAGCACCTGCATGTTGTTGCTATGGCCCATAAAGCATTCTAGAAATTATGGTCATCATGGATAGCATGAAACTTTTTAAAAAGAAAGTTAGCATAATTAGAGCTCTTCATTTTCTCAGGGCATCAGTAGAAGGTCAGACTTAAGGTCATCTGCTCTTGGTTGTCCCAAAGTTGTGTACTGCTAGCACATGTAATTAATTTTTTTTAGGAGGGTAGAACTCCAGCACCATGTAAATACTGCATATGGAGGACAACCTTACCTTCTTTGAACATTCTGAAGCTCTATGAAAAGCTAGGAAATAGAAAACTGAACATTGCTTGAAAGCCTTCCTTTTACATATACTTTTTAGATATTCACTAGATGTGAACTCTGCCTTCATTCTTTCACTGCAACTACCTTGATTCAGGCAGTTTGAACAAAATTAATTCTTAAAATTAATTTTAAGACTGTTTATGGACTGTTTATGCTTAGAATGGATGTCAATATAGGTAAGTGCATTGATGATATGGCAAGACCTAAAGTATATCCTGAGGCCTTCTTGAGCAAGAAGAACAGAAAATAGTAGTGGTGTTTCCAACACTTTTTATGGAAAATTTGAAAAAAAAAAGCAGACACTTGAGTTCTCTGTAGCACTTAATAAGTAAAAATGCATCACTCTGCTTTCTACTGGAAAAGGACCAGTACAAACCAGTATAACAACTGGGACAATCGGGAACTTTAGAATGGGCGAATCACCATTCCCTTTCCAATACACACTCATGTTTATATACATATATATGTGTGTGTGTATGTATGTATACACACATATATTCACAAGCTAAATGGATGCATATCTCAGAAGCAGCATGTGCATAAAGATAAAAGAATCCCTAACTGTAACACTAAGATCCTTCACGGACACTGACTTAGAAATCACTGGAAATATGCTTGAAGTTTCTTCAGGTAAGAATGTTAAATTTAGGAAGGTTTCACTGTATCAGCTTCCACTCCATGTTTATACAGGGTTTCTATTCTGCCTTTGCTTAAAAGTAACCAGTCACAAAAACTTTTTATTGAATGCTCTCTGAAGTTATTACTGATACCATTGTGTGATACACTTCACCTCTGCCCAGACACCACGGGAAGGCAGTACACTGCTCAGCCATGCCCCCATCACATTCCTCAGTAGCCCTATCGCTGCTCACAAGGTACACAGGCAAAACCGAGGCCCTCGGTTAACAACCAGGTCAGCAACCCCCTGGCAAGCGAGACCACTCTCCACAGAGCTGCCAAGGACCTCTGCGATTCCCCCGAGGGCAGCTGCCCCACACGACGGGGATCGGGCCTTTCCCGCTGCTGCCCGGCCCCTGTGGGCAGCCCCAGCCGCGGGAGAGCAGGGCAGGGGGGGCCGCTCCCTGCAGCCCGCTGTCCCCGGGGGCGAGGGGCGGCGGGGACACAACGCCCCCCGACCGCGGCCTGCAATGGACACCGCGCTCGGCGGCCCTGCCCTGCCCGGGGCGGCGCGATACGAGCGGTCCCTCCGGGGCCGGCAGCTCCCTCCCCGCCGCTCGAAGGTCTCTGTCCCCTCGCAGAGGAGCGCGGGGTCCGAGGGCTTGGCGGGAGAAGACCGCCGCGACCCCTGAGCGGCCGAGCACCCGGGGCGCCGCGGGCGGGATCGGCCCGCGATTCCCCGGCCTGTCGCTAAGAGCCGCCCGAGGAGACCGCGGCCTGCAGCGCCCGGCCAGGCCCCGGCCTCAAGTTGCCTCCTTCCCCTGCCGCCCCTCGGAGCCCGGAGGCGGGGAAGCAGGAAGAGGCACCTGCACCAAGCGCTGCTGGAGTGGGGGGAGGCGGTCAGCCGGCCGCCGAGCCCCGCAGCCCCTCCCTGGCTGGGGGTGCAGAGCTTTTCCCCGTCCTCGGTGTCGCAGCTGATGTCAAACCCTCGCCTCCCTCCTACCTGACAGCATCCCCCAGCCCTATGGCTCCCTCAGCCCCGGGCAGGCAACAGAGGGGACCTTAAGCCAAAAACCATCACCACAAATATATTCCCCTCTTTCACAAACGCGCCCTGCAAGGGGAGGGAGGAGGAACAAAACAAAACCCGACTCCCCTCCCCCAAAAGAAGATGGGGTGGAGGTGGCCCCAAAGTGACCAGTCCCCCGATTAAACCGGTCCTGTTCCCGCCCGATGCCGAGCGGTACTGCAGCCCCCCCGGCCAAACTCGGGGCCGCCGCCCGCCCCCGGCAGCGATTGCTGACCCCCGGGCCGGGGCACGGCGCTGACAAATGTCACTCTGTGCCCACAATGAGCGCCGCGGGGATGCTTCTTCTCCCCCGTCGTCATCCCCCCAAAATAAGAAAATCCTCTTTTAAGAGGAAAGAGATGCGATCCATCAAATAAAAGGGCACCCCTAGCTCCCACCCCCAGCGCCCGGGAAACACTCTCGTAAAAACTTTGACCAGGGCTCCCCCCCCGATAATAGCAGAATTTAAAACCTGTCAACCATTTTAGATCCCTACTTGAGAAAACATCATTCCCGGGGACCGGTGGATTTGGCAAACGGCTCTGAGCAGCGCTGCCGCGGCTTCCCTCCCCCGGGCCGCAGGGGAGGCGGCCGGGGAGGAAGATGCTTCCTGGGGAGGGGGTGGCGGGAGGGGGCGAGGGACGGGAGCGTTCGCTTTACCTGAGACCAGCCACTGGCCTCCATTGTTGGAGAATTCAATGGCATTGACACAGCCGAAGTGGCCCAGGAGGTCCTTCTTGTAGAGGTTCCTGCAGCCCCGCAGGCGTCTTCGCTGGAAGTCGTGGGTGAGCAGGGGGTCCCCCTCCAAGCCCCGCTGGGACAGGAACCCCACCACCGACCGCATGCTGCCCCCCCGGCTGCCTCTCCTCCTCATGCTGCCGCCTGCGCCGCTCCCCGCCGCTCCTTCCCCCGCCGCCCCTTCCCCCGCCGCCGCCTCCCCTCCCCCGCTTCCCCCCTTGTTATGGTTATGATGATTTTTCTTTAGCCAGCCATGGCAGAGAGGTGTTAGACACTCCGCCGCTTCCTGATCCCGCTGGCTCCTCCCCGCTTCCCTCAGCAGCTGATCCTCAGCTGCAGCCCGCGCCTCCCGGCCCGGCTCTAGCGTGGCGCCGCCGCCGGTTAACTCGCTGCTGGAGCGGCGCGGGGGACAGACACCCTCGCCCCTGCGGGGGACGGTAACGTTCGCCACTCCGGGGACGGACGGACACGTTCGCCACTCCAAGGACCTCCTGGGGCAAGGACACATTCGCCGCTGCGGGAACTTCCAGGGGGCCGGACACACTCGCCGCTCCGGGGACCTTTTTGGGGAAGGACCTGTTCGCCACTCGGAGGAGCTGCCGAGGAACCGGTGCGCCCGTCTCTCGGAGGAGCCGCGGGAGGACGCGCCCCGCCGCCGCTCGGGCCGCCCGGCTGAGTGAGCCGTGCCGGTGCAGCCCCGCGGCCGGCGGGGAGGTGGCGGCGGGCGGGCGGGCGGGCAGGCAGGCAGGTGCTCCCGCAGAGCGGGGAATGGAAGGCAGCGCTCCGGAGTCACGGCCGGCCCGCCGGGAGGCAACGGGCGGGCAACGCACCGGAGGGAGGATGAGAGGAAAAACAACTCAAGTGCGGGTGCTGTTTGCAGTGGGGCTTGTCCTCAGTAAATGCTGAGTGATTTCTACGGGAATTCAAAGCATTATGGCTTTAGAATTTAGTTTGAAGGGGTTTTTGTTGTTGTTGTGGTAGTTGTTTTCTCTCTTATAGTTATTATGGGTTTCATACTTGCTTTCTGCTGCTCCTTCCCGAGCAACACTGCAAACAGGAGGGCTGCCCCATCACAAGTGAGTCAGTAGACCTTTCTGCAGCCCTTGGAAGACTGCTCGAAGTACAGATAAATTTTCTTCTCTTATCCTGCAGTGTCAACTAACCCCTAAAACGCAGCTGGCTAACCAGGTGGAAGTGACCTGTGTTGTCCTTCACTGTTTAACAATACCACAACCTTTACCTTACTGGAATAAGAATATCTTTTCTCTTTCACAGGACCGTGTACTTCTCAGGTAACATGTCAGGCAACAGGAGTGTCATTCAAAGGGTGATGTCCCTGAGGTGCTGCACAGACCCCCAGTCCCACCTTGCAGCTGACTGCATGGTGCCTGTGCACAAAATGAGCAGCTTGGGACTTTCAGGTCTGTATTTCCCCATGGCAACAGTACCTAGGGACAATACAGTTTTCAGAAGGTGAGAGGAATTACCCTGACCATCCTGGCCGTCTTTATGTAGCGCTGCATCTGCTGGGAATTAGGAGTCTTGAAACTTTAAAATAAGCAGTGGGGAAAACCCTCCCTGACATAAACTGTGATGTGGCAAGATGACTGAGTACTCTTAGACTGCTGCCATATTCCGGTGACAGCTTTTCCATAGAAATAGAAATTATTTCATTATAAAAAGTCACTTAAGTGCTTTGGGTTTCTTCTTGGTTAAGATTATAGAAAGAGCATCAAATCCCGCATAGACCAAGCTTTTTATTTGATAACACTATAGCCTTAATTTTAACACATAACAAAAGTAAATAAAAAAACTTTCTCTTCTAATTGGGAGTAAAAAAAGAATGTAAGAAGTTACATTAACAGTGTTAACATTAACAATTAACAATGCTTCACAACTGAAGTGAAAACAAAGCAGTTAATCTCTTCTAATCTGAACCATACATAAGGGTGTTTTCTAGTTACAGTTGTTGATGGCCAACTACTGCCATGTAGCATGTCTAGCCACCCTCAATATAGAGAGGCAAAGACACTGTCCATCATGGCTTGTGTTTATTACCTTAGCTTCAGACATTGCTATAAAATCACATTTCATATCTTTGTTCCTTGCATGCCATGACATTCTGCACCATTACAATTATATCAGAAATTGTTGCTCACTCAGCAAGATTTCACTTTTTCCCGTTTCCTAAAGTATTGTTCAGGTTGAATATCTTTGAGTACCTTTGGTTTCTGTACTGAAAGAAATATGCAATATAATAAAATCTCCAGTGCTTTTTCTCCACATTCTGGATCCAGTCTCTAGGAAAGCTGTGTACTTAAATGGTTTTGCATAGAAATAAAACTATTTCCTAAGCCCCCAGTTCCAGGATTTTTAAGAAAGATTTAACTGAGTTTGTTTTTGTTTTGTTGAAGTTTTTCTGCTTGTTTGTTTTTGTGGTGTTTTTTCAATCACATTTCTAAGCAGTCAGAATTTAAAAGAAAAATAATAGCAGACTGTCAATCTGTTCTGCTCAATGACATGACCATATAGGTTAAAAAACTGTACTGGTAAGCATTCTTTTCACTCTCTTGTTTCCTTTCTTTGAATTAATTTTGAATATAACACCTAAGGAAGTTACCATAGCCTATACAGGGTGATATCTTCCTTGGAAAATGACTGATGTCTATGTTAATAAAGCCAGAGTGCTGTTATCTCTCCAAAGCACATAGACTGTTGTCCTGAGTCATACTGAAGTAGCATCAGTGAAGCATCTTTGTCTCCTTTAACAGGAACATTCTGCAGCTTGCAATGGAATCAATGTACTGACAGGAGTTAGTCAAACAGATCAAACTTCATCGAGTTGCTGTTCTGGGGGACATGTTAGCATGGGGGTGCTGTACTGAGACTGGTTGTCACAGACCAAATTGGATTGAGCCTGGCCAGACTCAAAGGGCACAGGAAGCCAGAGTCTGTCTGCACACACTGCTTGAGCTGCCTAATTCTGTAGCATGTTCACAGTCTCCTCCATGTCTCAAAAACAGCATGAAATCAAGCACAACAAATGTTTTGCCTGGAATTTCAACAAGCAGGCAACAGAGTGGAGGAGTCAACTGGAAAGGAAATGGGAGATAATGAACAGGAGGATGACTTGTAGATGCCCTTGGAAATGAAGGTAAGTAAATAATGTTTGATGCAAAACAGAAGAGGGAACTAGGAGAATCCTTAAAATAGAAAAGTTATGTGGTTAATGAAATATGTAAAAAATCTTGGGTTGCAGTTTCAGAGTTGTTAATTCCAAGGTTGTGCAGAGCTCAGTCTCTCAGAAGTACTAAATTGATCTGTATGAGGTATGGCCATGGTGTCACATTACACTCATATTAGCTTCTGTCCATGCTACAGATTTTTTGTTCTGCCTCTGGAAGGACTGACAATAACTGATTGGTGCTTATTGTCTACTGGTACAAAGTTATCCCTTCAACATTTTTCTGAATAAATTTGAATTAGGAGAATCAGTTAAATTGCATTAGTTGTTTCCATTTGATAGCTGGGGTGTATTTGATCATTAACAGGAGGCCTACAGTCAGCTTTGCTCTGTGGCATTTCCACTGGTCAATGGCTGTTGTGTTAGAAGCTGTGTTGGTTAATACTGGAGGGAGAGGTATTAGGGCAGTCTTTGTATATCAACAAGAGAACAAGGGTCTTAGCTGCAAGGATGTTTTGGAGCTGCCAAACTGGTATATACCCTGGGTTCTAGGATCTACAAAGACATTTCAGTCAGACCTGACAGCTGACAAACAAGCTTGAGTGGCAGGTAAACTGGTGATGCTATCCACAGACACTCACAAAGAAGATAATAAGAGGGCTTTCAGGGAAGAGTTCTAGCTCTGCTGAGCTCTAATTTCTTGCTAGTCATTCACAGAAGAGAGAAGACTCTGTTTTGAGTTTGGACAGGGGGAGGTATCTCATCTGAAATACAAATAAATTAATATCTCTCTGCAGATGATTTATGGATCTGCTCCTTTCCCCAGAGCTAACTCGGAGATAATGTACGAGGGTAACAGAAGACCAAGGATTTAAGTGAAGCATGATTGATTGTGTCAGGCAAGAAAGGATGAGATTTAAATACTCTTTTTGGGGTTCTGTTGAACCTTTGATTTGCTTTGGTTAATCCAGAATGGAAACTGAGAAGTTTGGACAGTGATAGTTGGATGTCTGTGGAGTGAGTCAGAGAGAGTGAATGCGTAACTAGGAAAGTGAAGCTGAGTCAAGGCTTTTATTCATTTGTTTATTTATACCAATATTTTTTTATTTTTGAGGGGCAATAGAAAGAAAGGGTAAACCAAGAAGACTACATCATATTTTAGCCCCATCATTTTTTTTAAATAATTTTGCTTGTGTAATTTATTCCCTCTAGTAAAAATTTGGTGGCTTCTGGGCTTTTCTCCCTTTGCTTACTTTAATAGACCAGAAAGGTAGGAAAAACTAGGACTTTTTTCTCAAATGTCTCCCCTTGGGGCTTGCTGTTCTGCTATGTAGGTTTAACATGCAGCTAAGCCAATCTAATGATTTGTGGTCACTTAAAGGTGGCCTTTTTTTTTGTGGCACTGTGTTCTGTCCCTTTCTTTGTGCTGATGCTGCTACTTACTGGACCTGCTTGTCTGCCATGTGTTTATTTGGCTCATGGAAGCGTCCCAATGAGTGCCAAAATCAGCACAAAACTAGTCTGGAATGCCCAGCTGGGAGATGAGTTTTGGAGATGGGGGATGTCATATTCTTAGCTGCCATAAACAGTGAGGCTGACTCAGTGTGCCTTCTGGACTGAACTACTGGGGTAAGCTCTTCAAGAAATGGAATTGTGAAATTAATCTCTCTTTCTATATAAGTAATGAAAAGACTTGGCAATTAAGGAAGAAATACATTGATGATGATGATTGATGTTAATACAACTCATCCTCATGGGATGATCTGGTATTTTACACCTCTGAGTTTTTTTCAGATTCTTTGCAAAACCTGCAAACTCTGTCAGATCCCTTCAGTGAGCTACCACTGACTCATCTTTTGGCTTAAGACGTAGTTTCATTGAGATCTGGCTGTATGATGGGTTAGTACAAGGAGTTTAAACCAGAAGAAATCCCAGTTTTTTGCTGTGCTAGCTTTCTGCTCACTTAATTCCTTGAATCAAGCAGGCACCAGTATTTGCAGAATTGAGGCTGGAGAAGAATGCTGACAGGGAGAAGGGGGAAGCAGAATTGCCTTTTGAACAGAAGCTAAACCTTCTATCCACCTCGTTGCAATACAAGGCTCCATCTTTAGGATGGGGCTTCACAGTTGATTGAAACTGCTCTCATTCTGACTTCTTGAGGAAAGAAACCCTACTGCCTTCCTGGTATCAACCCTGTTAAAACAAACCCTGCTCAAAATGGCTTGTTTGCATATATAGTCATGGTGTTACCAGCATCGACAGAAGGAAGATAAATCACATTAGAAGTTGAAATGGGAGTTTGGCTTTTTTCTGTAGCTTGGGATGGGGCCCCAAGGAGAGTGTTATTAATGAGCTAGTGGGGACTACATGCAGCTCTCTGCTCATTGTCTGCTACCAGCAATTTAAGTCTTCACTGGAGCCTCTCTCCTTTGATATTCCACGATCATTGATTTTCCTTTGAACACTGACTCATTTGCCCTAGTCTTCTCCCTCCTAAAGGATGAGCTAATGTCATTATAAAAATAATTCTTTTTTCTGTGATCAGCAGAACAAGTGAAGCCTGGTTTCCTATGGATTTGTCCTGATGTGGTACTACTGTGTGGATTCTCATATGTATTCTCATACTAAGCAGCATCTGCGCATGCTTACCATTTTATCAGTGACAACTTTATTAGGACCTTTTTCATCCATTTGGCTTTGCATTTCACTTGTTACCTTTGTACAAATTTAGAAGGAATTTAGCAATGGTTTAAACATGCTTTTTTGGCAAGGAAAGTGGGGGAAGTAATGGGACCCAGAGGCAGAAACACCAACATAGAGTAATTTCATAACCCCTCTTTCCTTAGGAAATCAGGCTAAAAATTAGTCTTTTGACACAGACCTCACAGCAGACTACAGACACAGAAAAGTAAACGTTGCTGTTTACCATATAAAGGCTTCTCTTTACCTGCTGTAACAGATTTTTTATAAGTAAGGCTAAACCAGCAGTTGGTGTTTACTTACTTGGTAATCTTTCATCTTCAGCAATTTCCCTATCAGGTTTTGGGAACTTCTGGTTTGTTTGGTTTGGCGCTTTTTTTTTTGTTTTTTTTGGTTTGGGTTTTTTTGTTTGTTTGGGGTTTTTTTGTTTGGTTTTGGGTGTTTTTTGGTTGGTTGGTTTGTTTTTTGGGGTTTGATTTGATTTTGGTTTGGTTTTTTGCCAGAGTGCCTTCATGCATCAGTTGCTTTCACTTATTTTTAATTTAATCTTTATACTTGAATAAATGGCTATGTAGATTTAAGACAAGGTGTTTAAAAGACTTGTGGCTTACCGGACACTGTAATGTCAGTGATACCATGAAAAATAAAGGCTTTAAATGCAACCAGGGGTACATTCCTTTTACTTGGAGAAAAGCTAGCATCTTCTCTGTGAGGTTTTCAAATTGTAATAAAATAGAAATTATTTTCTAGAAATATTATTTCTTTTATATAAAATAAATATTGGGGTAGTTTAATTTTTCTCTATTGTAACTTTATGCTTCTATTACTTTAGAAATGAAAATAAACAATTTATTTGCAGATTTGTTCAGTATTTTGTGCTTATCTTGAGCTCTGACAGAGTTGTCTTAAGGATGCCTTGCCTACCCCACAGTAGGGCAGCTGGATCCTGGAGCCCAGCTGCATCATCTTGGTTCTCTTTCCAATCACTTGGGCCCTGAAATGTCTGTTGTGCCCCCAGGTGTTACCTTTTGTCCTTGAACTAGTGTACAGATGGATCAGTTCCATGATTTTCTGACCCTGTCATTACAGATATGTGGGTGCCGGAGCAAGGGAGCAGGGAGGGAGCAGTCAGTCACAGGTACAACAGGAAAGGTGAGACTGTCCATGCAAGTGGCAATCCAGGTTTATGCTAGATTCCAGTGACCATGCAAAATAAAGCACTATACCTTAAGGGATATGTGTGAAGGGAAGAGAGAGGGAGAGAAACAGGCAGAACATGTCCATCTGACTGTGGGAACTCAGGTACTGCCAGAGCCCTCCAGCTTTCTCTCCTGAGCATGCACATGATGCACCTTTCTCCTGAGCACAAGTCATGTGAGCAGCTTCAGAGTCCTGCTGGCTCCTGCATGGTGACCTGCAATTCAGCTGGTCAGCTGTGCCTGGTGCATCGCAGCACAGGGATGGATGGAGAAGCTGTGGCTGAAAGGGAGATGCAGACCTTCCCTCTAGAGGAGAATGAGGCACAGACAAGGCGTGAGTTACTGCAGTGAGATTGCAATGCTTCGTAACTCAGCGAATTAATACAAAAATGGATCCATGTCTCGTCACTGTAGAGCAAGACTGAGAGGCTTTGCAGAAACACTTATGTTTTTGTATTTGTACGTTGGAATTTTGAATTTGTGCATTTGTACATTTTGTATTTGTACATTCAAAATACACACGCGAGTCAATGGAAAACAAAACTCTGATCCTACCCCAGCACCAATGAGACCTGATACAGCCACACCATGCTGGCATAGATCTGGTCATTAGAACAAGTAGCTGCTTAACCTTTAATAGCCTTGACATCTTATTTCTGATAAGGAGAGGGCCTTATTTGCTCAGAAAAGTGTTCTGAAAATCACCAGTTTTCCTTGTGAGCTATCAGGATGTCTGAGTACCTCATTCCTGAGTTAAGAAAAAAAAGAAGGGGGAAAATAAAGATGAGTTACAGACTGAGAAAAATCCTGCTTCTGAAGAAGATTTTTGCCAGTGCCGACCATTAGCCTCTCTGTTGCACTCTTTGGACAACAGGTCTGCTAAATACCAAATCTCTACTAGGGAGATCCTCCTACTGTGATGACTGCAAGTGGCAAAGTTAAAACAAAACAGAGTTTGATGCCGTTAAATTGATTTAGCACAGTATTTTCTGTGGGTTCAGTCTCTACTTCAAATAAATACAGCTTGGTGGAAAGCTAACAGCACAAAATCTGGGAGCTACTGAGAATTGCAAAGGAATTTGAAGAAATTGGGTGCTCAGATTCTCTCATTTGGAATGGAATTTGGGCTGGAAACTCGTTTGCTTTTTAACAGGGATGACCTCAAACCTTGTCGATCGTAAAGCTGGATACAGCATCTGCCTGTACACTCACTGTCCAGGTTTTGTGGTGTCACTCTTCTAACATTCCTATTTCTCCATACACACGGGGGAACAATCACTTGTCATGATTAAGTGACATGTTCCTCTGTTAATTTCTTAACAGTCTCCATTTGATTTGTTCCCTCTTTGTTTTCTTCCAGTTTGCCACTTTGGAGGTGGCTGCGATTCGTTATTTATTTTCCCGGCTGCCTTTGTTCTTTACTTCCCACTCTATGTGGTCCCTCCTGCCCCAGGGGTTTCGCGGTGCTCTGCGTGTGGGTGACTTCACGCCCGCTGCGGCTCGCTGCTCAAGCCCTCCCTAGTCGCAGACAACACACTGCACATTTCACTCCAAAAACCCGCTTTGAAAAGAGCCGACTTTTCAGTGTTCCTGCCAGCATTTTGCCCGTCTGAAGGCACGCTGGCGCCTGCCCAGCCGCCCCGCCGCTAGCTGCCGTACAACATGGCGGCGCCCGCCGCCCACTCGCACCGCCGGCACAGAGGAAGCGTCCGCCGCTCTAAGGCTCCCGGTGTGTGTGGCGACTGCCCCGCGGGGCGTTCCTGCGGCCGGATGCAGCCGTTCCGCGGGACGCAGGCAGCGGGCGGATCGGTGGGCGCTCGGCGGGGCCGCGGGGGGGCGGCGGGCCCGGGCGCGGGGGAGAGGCTGCTGCGCGCATCCCGGAGAGGCCGCGGCTGCGGCTGCAGGTGCGCCGGTGCGCGGTCCGGTGCGCCCGCGGCCTCCCGCATGCTCGCTCCCGGCGTTCGGGCCTCTTCCCGGGGTAGATAACCGCGACCGAACCTAAAGCGGGCAGCGCGTTCCCCCTGATGCCGAGGGGAGCCGCGGACGCACCCGCCTGCCCCATCCCGGAGGGCCTGGCAGCGGCCCGAAGGAGCGCTCGGCTGGGATCCCGGGCCCGCCCCCGGGCCTCGGCGCGCCGCTGCCGCCGGGGCTGAGCGGGGGCCGGAGCGTCTTACCGCGGCTTCTCCTGCCCCGGCGGGGGACCCGCACGAGGATCACAGGCATCCCCGGTTCCCACAGGGGCAGTGGCTGTTCGACCGAGGGAGAGGGCTGCGGGCGGGCTCGTTGCCCCCGGTGCTGGCACTCAGTTTACGGGGTGGCCGCGGACCGCCTGTTGCTTCGGGGGTGCTCGGGCAGGTCCCTGGGCCGTGCTCGGGTGCTGGGAGCGGCTGTGCCGCATCGATGCTGGAGTAGCATCGACACCCGAACTTCTCCTTGTGGGGAAGCGAGCGCAAGGACAGCCCTTTAGAAACTACGTGATGGGCTGGGATGGAGGAGCAGGACTGATTTCAGTTTATTGAAGGGGTACTAAGTTTCTGTATGGTAGAGGGACAGCTAAATAAGATGCTGCTGTTTTAGGGCTTTTCAGTGCCCAAAGACCATTTGACCCTAGTATGGATGTGAATGTGATGGACAAATAAATGCCTGTTATTTACTAATGCGTGAACGGACGTGCTTATTCTGCAGCAATTTCATTTTGGCCTTGTTTAGATTGATCTAGTTACAAACTTAACTAAAAGGTGTTGATAATAACTGTGACTAGGTTATTTTTGGAATAGCAGAGTTTGTGGAAGTTGCACCAGTTTAATTGAATGGATTCCCTTTAAAGTTTTTAATGGTGTGATCAACAGCAGCGTTCAGTCTCTTCTTCTGCCCAATCCATCACTGCAGCAGTCTGTCCCCAGGCCCCCAGTCTATCAAAGTGGGATCCGGAACTTTTTTCTGTCAAGATTACAAGTTATGGCTAGAATCTTATTGTGATAGCATTGCATGTGTTTAATATCTCTAAACACATTTTATTAAGTTGTCTTTAATTTCTTCCTCTCTTATTTTTCACTGCAGGCATGATGAAATCCCACAATGCTGTTTTGAGAGGATGAGGTGAAGAGGGAGAAAGGGCAATAAAAATGGCCAAGCAAACAGCCGTGACGATTACTTTGGCGACCCTGCTGGGTGTCGCACTGGGGGGCCTGGTTTTGTGGAAAGCGACCCAGCATCGGAAAGGAAAAACACGCTGTAGCAGTCAGCAAGAGGAAGCAGCAGGAAAGTCAGGAGATGAGAAACTCATTAAAGCAGAGGATAAGAAGGTGCTTTCCTTCTTCAGATCTCCCACCTTTTGCTGGATAGAGAAGACCCTTGGTGCAGACATAGTGATAGTTTCAGAGCAGGAGGAGTGGGATCATGCTGAACCATTGCTGAAGAAGGAGCTGGAGAAGTGGCCGGTTCTTGGAATTGATTGTGAATGGGTGAGTGATCAAGAAGCGCCTCTCCTTCCTTTAGATTGCAAATTGCATGGGGAAATCATTGAAGGTGGAGCAATTTCTTTGCTTAAACAGATACCACGGTGTGTTGACCATTGAAACTGTGATTGTCTGTCATGATGGCAGTGAAGCAGATGCTAATTTTGATTCTTCTTACGTTTAAATATGCTAAGTTTTTGATTCACCAGATGTATTTGTTTCCTGAGTTCTGTCATAAGTCGACTTTACTAAATATAGTAACAGTTGTATGGCTAAATATAGCATTATGTGTTTTGTGTAATATCTCTTTAAAGGTGATTTACTAGAAAGTAGCTTGGCTTATGCTATTTTAAATCTAGCTACATATTCAAGAAACAATATCTTAAGAATGTTAAGTCCGAAAAGGAGGATAATGCTGATACATAGATAAAATTCACTGGGACAACCAGAAAACAAAGTTCCTCTTCTGCTTGTACATTTGCATGTGTGATATCTCAAACAGGCTTTAAGTAATTTATAAAGCCTGGCTTTGCCATTGTTTTCACTGGAAATTTACTCACCCCACAGTCATTAGTATAAGCCACAGCTAAGCAATATATTTGCCATACACATTCATATAGTGGGTGGCTTTCTGTTGATGTGGATTCAGAAATGTTTCTGATTTCTTCTACCAGCTCAGCTATGAAGGGGAAGGGTGAAAGGGGGAAAGATTATCATGTGGGAATGTGGCAAGAAGTAGCTTAGGCACAGTAACACTGTGAAAAAGACCACACAATTTGCCATGAATTTTTAGAGACACGTAACAATACTTTACTGTGTAAACAATACTCTGTAAACTGATAAGTATTTCCTGCTTTCAGTGGCCTTTTTTGCAATTTGCTTCAGCTCTGGTATTACTAATAATACAATAACCTGGACTCTCATTTTTTATTTCATTACAGGTATCTGTGGAGGGAAAAGCAAATCCTGTATCCCTGTTGCAGATGGCTTCTTCCAGTGGCCTCTGCATTCTTGTTCGGTTGCCCAGGCTTGTTGCCGGTGGCCGGACTCTTCCAAAGACCCTGGTGGACATCATGGCAGATAGTGCTGTGTTGAAAGTTGGGGTAGGATGCTGGGAAGATGCTTGCAAATTGCTTCATGATTATGGTCTTCCGGTCAAAGGGAGCATGGATCTCCGGTATTTAGCCATGAGACAGCGGTAAGTGCCTGAACACAGAGGTAGGTCCGCTTGAGGCCTCATTTGTTGGAAAGTTGGAAATGTATCTTAGGTGATTTGCATAAGCTGAATGATATCAGGCTGGTATGTCTGGAATTCTTAGGGTGGCTTTAGAAAATATGCATTGATAGCTGTAGCCCAAGAGCCTGTGATGCTTCTATTCTGTGATCTTAAGGGAAATGAAATCTTAATGAGGATTTCATTTGCTAATTGTGTCTGTTAGTCTTCTCTCACAGACTGATACCTTTGTGGACTTCTCTGTGTACCATGCTTCAGCTCTTAAGAAGTCCAGGCACAGTGATTTAATGCAGTAAGAATGAACACTGTGTCAGCAGATGTTTGAATGCCAAGAAGCGTGAGTTAAATGTGCACAGGGCATGTAAATGGAACTGTTGAATTTCAAGATTTCTTGAAATGTTACTAAATAAACCGGTTCCAATTTTCTCTTTTAATAACAGTTCTTCTATGGAAGGGTTACACTTGTGATGCCATTTTCTTATCTTTTACTCTTCCTGAAACAAGATGTTTTACTTGCAAATATTCTTCATGTACAATTATATGTGTGCCTGGGTATGGTGTTAGTGATCTGGGCCACACGTTTTCTGACCTATTGATGCCTTTTTAACACTGAGGATGGACTTCTTGTCTCCAGTGGCTAGGATTCTTCCTGGTTCTTGGGCTTCTCATGAATCCCTAGGACAAGTGGTCCATCACTGAATGATGGGCCTCTTTAGTTCAGAAGGGAGTAGTTCAGAGCCAAACACTTCAGCCTTAAATGTTACTAACTCTCAGCCTTGCCTGCTTTGCATATTGCAGACACAAGATAATTACTAAATCTAGAAAGGACATTTTAGTAGAGGGGGGGAGAGGGCCTGTAAAGCTGAGAGGCAGCTGTGTGCTGTTTGAGTCATGCATCATGTGCATTGTCTTCTTGCAGGTTCTCTTCAGAGGCCATCTGAATTTGCATGAGTGTATAGTTTCATTTTTAATATATTTGTTTCACTTTCTTTGCTGAATTGAAGGAAGGATCTACTTCACAACTGCCTTAGCCTTAAGTCTTTAGCTGAAAAAGTCCTGAACTTCCCACTTGACAAATCTCCTCATGTGCGTTGCAGCAACTGGGAAGCAGAAGAACTGACACAAGATCAGGTGTGTTCCCCATTTCAACTTACTGTTTTGGGAAGAAAAGTAACCTTCTTAGTTGCAAAAGAGGCTTTACAACAGGGAGATCTGAGCCTTTTCAAATTATTCCTCAAACCCTTATGTGTGCCAGGGCCTAAAGTTAATTTCAGACTCACTGCCTGCATTCCCCTCCTTTTCCTTTAAGATAATTTTCTGCTATTCTCCCTGGATTCTTTACTGTTTTCCTTTAGTCCTGAAAGATCTATGAGACAAGATACCTTGAAGAAGTGTTTCCAAAACCTCACCTTTTTATTATTTTCTTCAGTCTGTATCAGTCAGTGCAATATTAGAGAGACCCTGGAAATCTTGTTCGCGTTCTTTAGAGCACTGAGTTTTCCCCGACTGCCCAGTTTCTTTAGTCAAGCTGCACATGCCTGCAGAAGCAATGACCAGCAGAGGGAGTGACAGGACAAAAAACCGTGCTGAATACTCTTAGCCAGTGTGCCAAAAGGGAACTTTTTATGAAGAAGGGATTGGTGGGATGTGAGGATGTCTGACCTAAATACATTTTCAGTCCCTGCAGTTCCTGGGGGCACTACCCCAAGGTAGTGGGATGTGGTGTTGTTATGAAAGTGCCAGTCAACTGGCAAAATTAAAAAGGAAATGAATCCTGCTTCTGGTTTTACTGTACCTTCTGCTAAAGACTGATAATGTTGGGAGTATTTGCTGTTTGTTAGTATCTTAATTTCTGTGCTTTTCTGCAGGTTCTCTATGCTGCTAGGGATGCCCAGGTCTCAGTAGCTCTGTTCTTCCGTTTGCTGGGATTTACCAGCTTCCCTGCTACATCTGAAGGTGAAAACTCTGTCACTGCTTGGAAGAAAGCCTGGGGTAAATGCCAGGGCTTGGTGGATATCCCATTTAGAGGAAGAAAGAGTGGCAGCACAGGAGAGGAGAAGAGTGGAGAGGGACGTTCCCCTCAGAAAACAAAGAATCGGAAGTCTTGGATGAACGGCCAGCCCTCTGGCAATCAGCAAATGAGAGATCCACGGAGGCAGAAGCGAAAGCCTCTGGGTGTGGGATATTCTGCAAGGTGAGTGTAAGAGCACATCTTACTCTTTGCATTGCATGTGGAAAACCCTGAGTGTTGCCTCATGCTCTAGCCATTAAACAAAGTAGCTCATGTGAGCTAGGAAAGGCAACACAGGACCTAACAGTCATGGGGGTCAGATCCTGTTTCTGTTTTCCTCATTTTCCTCTAGGTGATATCGAAAGTGGGGGCAGCACTTAGATCTCTACTTAGATCATGAGCAAGTTGAGGTGTTGTCTTTAAGTTTTACCCTTCCTTCCTTCCTTTACCCTTCCTTCCTTCCCGTGTGAAAGCATTAGCCAGAGAGCAGAATCCTAGCAGGAGGCAGTTGGCTTTCCAGGTGTTATTCTTGGGTGTCCAGGGTGTCCTGAGCAGGGCTAGGAGTTGGACTCAATGATCCTGGGGAGTCCTTTCCAACTTGGCATGTTCTGTGATTCTGTGATTCTGCTGCTCAAACAGCTGTGCCCTGTCTTCTCCAAGGAAAAGATGGCAACTGCACAGAGCTTGTCCTTTCATCAGGATCTGCCTCGTGGACTGTTGTTTTCCCTTTGCTGTCCCATGTCACTGTGGCCACAGAGATAGCAGGGCTGAAAGCTGAGGTTAGCAGGGGAAAGACATGTTGTGTGAGGAGCCAGAGGGTACAGGGAGGAACAGCCTGTGGTAGCAGCAAAGCAGTGCCCTTCTCTGTTGGCCAGGGGGCAAGAGGAAACAATAGTGCTGCTTTAGCCTTGCAGAGATGGCTATTGCTGGATTCAGGATTACCATCCTTGCAGGTGATTTTTTGGAGTGAATCCTAAATTCTTAGGAGCTTTTGCTAGCAAGAGTTCAGTTGTTTTTAAATTAAAAACAAGTTGGAAAAGTTGCTTTAAGCTCAGTGCAGTGGAAGATCTGGGGTATCTGTATGTTTGCTTTTGTTAGGATACAATCTAATAAAATTTGTCATTGGACATAGCTAAAATTACATGAAAATATCATTGGGAAAGAAATAAATTTTTGTATTTGTTTTCTTTTTTTCAAGTTTATTGGATTGGCAATGGAGAAATTTTAGTGTAGTCAATAGTATTGATTTCATTAGCAGTGATTAACAGTATTCTGTTTTACAGAGCAAGTCCCTCATATTTATTTTAATTTTTTTTTGGAGGCTGTGTAATACAAAACAGGAGGACTGCATCTCATGGGAGGATTAAAATTTAAACAAAATTACATTCCAAGATAAATTAAGATCTCTCCATATATGTTTATTTACTTTTTGTTTTTAACTGTGCTTGACTTCATGAGAGATCTGTAGACTCACTGCTTTTTACAGTATTTACTGCAATGTGGCTCTAGTCTGTGATAACACTGGATGTGGTTTCAAAAGTCCTTTTTCACTCTTCCTTTCTGTTTCAGTCTGTTTAGTTTTAATGTTTATTCATTTAGAGTTGGGAAGTACTGAAATTATCATGGTGGCTGAGTTGAGCTGTGGATGCTCAGTGGAAGGAGATAGCCTGTGAATCAACCTTTTTAACTGGTAGAGCTCTGCTGAGAACTAATTTGTACAATCCCGCTGTAGAGAGGAAAGGAAACTTTTCTGCAGTGTATTGTGACATCTCTGGCCAGCTCCTCCCAGGTGCTCTCTGAGCCCAGCCTGCTCCATGCTTCAGTTTTGTTTGAAGGAGGTTGGCAGAGTAAGGAATGTTTTCTGCAAAACAGAGCCCTTCCACACACTGCCACAAACTGCCAGGGACTGCTCACACAGGACTTGTCACTGCCAAAGATTGTGTTTGAGGGCATGAGCTCAGCTTTGTTATTCTCCTGAACTCATGTGTTCAAGTTCCCAGTGCTGAACTCATGTGTTCAGGTTCCCAGTGCAGAAGTGTTTTTGGACCATTTCTCTTGAGTGAATAAAGTTATTGCTATTCACACTAAATTTTAGAAAAGTTTTCATTAAAAAACACTAAAATCCAAGCTTAGGCAGCTGATCCTTGAAAGTGCCTTGCCTGTAAGTTAGCAGTCTCTTTGAGCTTACTCTTAGCTCATCATCTTTTGTAACTTCAATTCTTTTTTGTTTTCTATTTCAATTTTTTTTTAAATGCTGTCTTCACTGATGACATCTCTTGAAAATTGGGATTCAAGAGTTACAATTCTGTTGGCAGCAGGAGAGCAAAGATACCTTAGAGTCAGTTGGCGAGCCCTGGATAAATTTTCAGATGTACTGCTTCCCTAAGCAGCAGACTATGGAGTCTCAGCAGCCTCAAGTTTGTGTTTAGGGGTACTCCTGTGATTCAGAGGAAGCTGCCTGAACTGCAGTGTGGCACACAGGGCTATAGAAAGCTCTGGGTTTTTTTAATGCTATTATAGCTGTTGTAATACTGGCCTTGTTTCATAGAAAATCTCCACTGTATGACAACTGCTTCCTGCATGCACCAGATGGACAGCCCCTGTGCACTTGTGATCGCAAGAAGGCTCAGTGGTATTTGGACAAGGGGATTGGAGGTAGGCATACCATTTTCCTGTTGGTATTTGAAATGCTCCTCTCTCTCTCCTTTCTCTCCCCTCTCTCTCTCCTCTCTCTCCCCTCTCTCTCATCTTCCTAATGGAGCATGATTTTTTTGGTATCCTTTCTTATTGGAAGTACTGTTGGGGATTCACTAGGATGACTCTTACATTGTAGCATTGTTATTTTATCTCTCCAATACAATTTGTATTGAATATTTTCTCTTTGCCTTTATCCTTTTAGAGCTAGTTAGCACAGACCCTTTTGTTGTGAAGCTGCGTTTTGAGCCTTCAGGACGTCCCGAGTCCCAGGTTGATTATTATCTGACAGTCAAAGAAAACCTCTGTGTTGTGTGTGGCAAGCGAGAATCCTATATCCGGTGAGTTGTTTAGTGGGTAGGAGAAAATTGCATCTTCTAAAACAGGGCTGAGGTCTGCATCAACTTTGGCATCCAGAAGCTTGGTTAGTGGCCTGAAACATTGTGCTTCTTCATGTCCTGGATGGGACACTGTTTGAGTGCTCTGCAGTTGTTTGGCTGTATGAAACACTGAAGAGACCAGCCCTTCCTCTTACAGAGGCAGGAGATACTGATCCTAGGAGAGATCAAAGCCTGTGGAACATGTGTGTGCTGCAGTTTGAGTGGCAGGGGCAGCCGCGTGCTGACACACACTGGGTGGGTGGCATACCCACCCGAAAAGAGCTGTACTATTCCTTCCACTACTCAGTCCTTTATTTTTGAAAGGTTTAGGTGAGCTTAAAGCTCATGAGGTCAAAAGAACAAGATTTTTCTCTTTGTCTTTTTGTCTGCTACTGATTAATTGAGAAGTATACTTCTCATAGTGCATTACTTGATTTTTAGGTTTTTTTTTTTTTTTTACAGTAGGAATCTTTAGTTGAAAGTGATGAATTTTTGGAAAGGAAAAAAGAGAAATGCAGAAAATAATAAAAGTAATCACTTTTTCTACTATATGTCCTGGTAATCTTTGCTTACCTGGACTTCTAGTTTTAGCTGACCCTTTCTGGGGCAGGAGGAGGAGGAACTGGGTAGCAGCAGCTCCAGACAAATGCAATGAGCTGCCTGTTTTGTCTTCTCTAGGAAGAATGTTGTTCCTCATGAATACCGAAGACACTTCCCCATCCAGATGAAGGACCACAACTCACACGATGTGCTCCTCCTCTGCACATCCTGCCATGCCATCTCCAATTACTATGACAACCACCTGAAGCAGCAGCTGGCCCAGGAGTTTGGGGCTCCCATCGGCTCCGAGGAAGGCGTGCGTCTCCTGGAGGACCCTCTGCGCAGGCAAGTGCGCTCGGGGGCGCGCGCCCTGCTGAATGCAGACAGCCTGCCTGAGCCCCGCAGGGCAGAGCTGCTGCAAGGCATCAAGGACTTCTATAACACAGACACAGTCACTCCAGAGATGCTCCAGGCAGCAGCTGATCTGGAAACCAGGTATAGCACACCCATGTAGGCTGAGTGTAAGGTTTTTAGTTGTTTGTATTGCGTTTCTTACTGGTTTTGTTTTTGTTTATACCCATCTCCCCTCAACCCACCATTGGTCTCTGAACTGCAGCTCTTGTTTCTTTCCCTCTTTCTATTCTTCCTCACCAGTCTTCTGTTCTTGCTCTCCATCTTCTCCTCCAACATTTTTGTACTCCTTTTGAAGGACAGATCAGGAAAAGAGTCTGAAGGACAGTCATATCAGAAGTCTTCTTCACTTTCTCAAAGTCTCCCCAAATCTTTTCTTAACAAGTGTCTAGTCTCTGTTTGAAATTAGTATCTTCTTGTTGTGCTCGCTGTTGTTTGTAAAGTGCAGATGATGTAACTCAGAACTCATCCAGGCAGGGAATTCAGTGACAGGCTCAGCACTCTGAAGGGTCATGTAATTCTTGTCTTGAGAAATTTTCAGTCTCCCTAAGAGCTTGTAATGGACCTTAAGAGCTTTGCTTAGTGTTGCTGTAAAGAAGAACACTTTCTCCATTCAGAGAAACCAGCTTAACAGTGTAACTGTGTTCCAGAAAGCAGTCTGGCATTGAAGCAAAGCTTAAAACTCTCCCTCTTGGTTAGCTTACCCTTTTTCTGTAATTAAACTCTGCAGCTGAAAGTATCTTCAGTGTCTTGTTGTTCACTGGAGACAGATCTGGAGTCTGACAGTGGGCTTGTGCAAAAATAAATTGTGCTTGTGTCCTGGCAGGATCTGCAATGAGAGCTACGTGCCACATGGACTGAAGGTGGTGCAGTGTTGTGCTAAAGGAGGCCTGCGCTCTCTCATGCAGCTGGAAAGACGCTGGCGGCAGCATTTCTTGGACAGCATGAAGCCCAAACACCTCCCAGAGCAATGGTCAGTGGACCATAACCATGTGAAGTTGATCCAAAAGTATGGGGAGGATCTTCAGATCAAGCTGTCATGAAACTAACTTCCTGGACTCTGGATAGTGTCTAATGGACATATGTAACTGAAGATGGAAAGACTATTTCTATTTCTACATCTCCACTAACACCTGGGGCCTGGGTTTGCAAAAAGGCAGCAGTAGATCTGCCAGATTTGCCAGTTAAAATTAAATTTGGTGGTTTGTAGAGTTAAATCTTTGAACTTTCATGTAGTTTGGAAGTTTAATCCTACTCTGTCACTTACTAGTTCAGGGCAAGAGTGATATGATAAGGGAACTTGTCTTTTCAAAGTGACTATGAAGAATCATTTTCTTGCTCCCAGGATGTCTGATGCCTCCAGACCATTTCTCATATAAAGTGAGTTCAGAGAAAGGCAACAAAAGCACAATAGATTAATGTTTCTGGATTTTTCTGACATACATTTGTGCCCTTAGCTTTACCTTGAGGCCAGCAGGAGCAGGGAGGTCATCCTTCCCCTGTGCTTGGCACTGGTGAGGCACTTTGAGTGTTGTGTCCTGTTCTGGGCCCCTCAGTTTGGGAAGGACATTGAGATGCTTGAGCACATCCAGGGGAGGACAAGGAGGCTGGTGAGGGGCTTGGAATACAAGCCCTGTGAGAAACAACTGAGAGAGCTGGGGGTGCTTAGCCTGGAGAAAAGGAGGCTCAGAGGTGACCTTATCACTCTCTACAGCTCCCTGAAAGGTGGTTGTAGTCTGGTGGAGGTTGGTCTCTTTCTCCAGGCAGGAACTGACAGAACCAGAGGTCACAGTCCTAAGCTGCGCCAAGGGAAATGTAGGTTGGGTATTAGGAAAATGTTTTTTACATAAAGGGTCATAAAGTATTGAAATAGTTTGCCTGGGGTGGTAGTGGAGTTACCATTCCTGGATATGTTTAAAAAAAGACTGGATGTGGCTCTCAGTGCCATGGTCTAGTTGAGGTGTTAGGGCTGGGTTGGACCTGATGATCTTGAAGGTCTCTTCCAGCCTAGTGATTTGGTGAGGGTCTTCTTGGTAAGAATCTTTCTTTGCTTTCAGTGCAGTTGTATTCATAAGAGTTCTTTCTAGAGAAGATTCCTTGCCAGAGAGAGATTCCTTGTAGGGAAGAAGCAAAGAAACCTTATTTTTTGCAGATTCTGAGCTGTCCCAGCATTGCAGATAGGCCTCAGCAAGTTTCCAGATGGCAAGTGCCTGATGAGAAGTGACACTCTGGCAGTATGGAAATACCCATGACAAGTCTTCTGTTAAACAGCTTCCAGCAACACAGAGTTTATAAAAAATGTTTTTCCTAATTCTGCTTGTTTGTTGTGAGCAGTGTGCTCAGGCATGCAGGGCTGTTACAGAGACAGGGTGGCATAACTCCTGTGGCTGGAATGTTGGAATGGGAGGATGGAGAGCCTTTAGGAAGAGCAGGCACTGGAGGCAAGGAGGAGGTGTCACCTTCTGTGTCAGTGATTGGTTGGAGAGCACAGAGCTCCATCCCGAGTGCATGGAGCTCAGCCTAGGGATGGATGAGGAGCCCATCAAGAGCTTATGGGTCAGGATTAAAGGGAGGGCAGGCACAGGTGACAGAGGGGATCTGCTACATGTAACCCAGCCAGGAAGACAGTAGATGAAGCCCTCAACCTTGTGTTCACAAGGCCTAGTCTTCATGGGGGACTTCAGCCACCTCATATCTGTTGAAGAGGTAGCACAGCAGGGCATAAGCCATTCAGGAGGTTCCTGGAATGCATTGATTACTTTTCCAGAAAGCCAACTGCATCATGGGCTACGTCAAAAGAGGCATGACCAGCAGGTCAAGGGAGGTGATTCTTCCCCTCTATTGTGCTCTTGTGAGACCACCTGGAGTATTGTGTCCAGCTCTGTGGCCCCCAGCATAATGGAGCAAGTCCAGAGGAGGACTACAAAGATTATCAGATGGCTGGAGCACCTCTCTTATGACTTTTTACAAGAGTGTGTAGTGATAGAACAAGGGTTAAGGTCTTTAAACTGGAAGAGGCTAGGTTTAAATTAGATATTGGGAAGAAATTCCTTACTGTGAGGGTGGTGAGGCACTGGAACAGCTTGCCAGAGAAACTGTGAATGCCTCATCCCTGGAAGTGTTCAAAGCCAGGTTGGATGGAGTTATGAGCAACCTGGTCTAGTGGAAGGTGTCCCACTCCATGGCAGGGATGTTGGAACTGATGTTCTTTAGAGTCCCTTCCAACCCAAACCATCAGTGATTCTTTGAATAGCACTTGGTGAGTACCTTTTCATATCAGACTGAAATAAGTACAGGTGTCTTAAAAGGGATGAGAGGAAACCATTTAAATTAAAGACCAGAAGCTTTTAAGAGATCTTACCACACATGGCAAAAAACGGAAAATCTGATGTTGTGTACCTGGATTTGACAGGTGTGGTGGTAAGCAGGTTATACTCTCTTCATGCCTGTTTGTCTGTCTCTAAAATGGGACTAATAATACTTAACTATCTCACAAGGGTGTTGTGAGGCTTAATTAATTCATGTTTTTGTAAAATGCTTTGAAAATATAAGCTAGTGTGTGCTAATTATTGTTTTTTAAGATGTGCTGCTGTCTAACTTCCTTAAATATTCATGTTTTTTGTCTGGTGCTAGACCTTAGTTAAAGATAACTTTTTAAAAATACACACTTCTTTCTGTACAATCTCTTTTGATGATTTTGATTGCATGAGATGAGTGTGCTTCTACTGAATGATGAAGCTATGCTCAACTTTTATATGCCTCTGCAAAGAAGTTTCAGTAAAACCCTTATCTTCACACTGCTGTGTATAGTGCAATTGACCCAATTTTTTCATAACATTTGGGCAGAATCCTGGACCTGTTGTGATTGTGGCTGAAACTGGCCCTTATCAGATAATTCAAGAAATTTCACAGGCCAGGGGTAAAAACCCTGTTTGTAGCAGAGACTGTTTGAGATAAGTAGGAGCCATGGAGAGAAATGGGACATTAATGCCATCTCAGAGGAGCTGCAATAGCAGCATGAGGAATCAAAGATTCATGATAAATACTATTTGTCACAGAGCTGCAAATGAGATAATTTTCATTATAAGGGCAATTTTTTCCCCTGTACCATTGGCAAGTCTTAACAAAAAAAATGATCTAGCCAAATGTGGTATGTCTCTGTGCTCATTCACACAGCTGATTATAATCCCAGCATGACCTTCCTGCCTACAGCAGCAGTTTGGATATAACTTTTTCTCTCCAAAGCATTTTGAGCATGTGTTCAGATAGTGCTATATCCTGTCTCCATCTGATCGGGGTGTTGAGAGCTCTGTGTGACTCAGAAACTCCTTTTCTGTCATCAGGAGTGCAAGGTGTCCATTTCACCTCTTTGTTCTGCTTTGTTTTTTCTCCCTTTGTTCTGACAGGAACTCCTGATCAAACTCTTTAATGGAACCTATTGGCTGACCACAGGGTCAGGTCTTTTCTGTTTGTGAGACAAGAAAGTAATGTGGAGACAAGAACTGGACTGCAGATCCTAAATTTTTGAGGAGCCAGTGGTATCATTGAAGAGGGTTTTTTCCAAATCATTTGTTCAGAAACAGAAACTAGCAAGGAGAACTTCCTTCACAAATATTTTCTAAACTAAGATTCTTTGTTGTTTGTAAGATATCCTTAACTTGCATAATTTTAATTCAATCTGAAAGAAGAGGGGAAGCAATATATTTATTATGCAGAAATAGATTGGCTTTATTTTATTATGATTTTAAATTTTCTACTAGTCTATAGATAAAACTTCTTTGTATGTCTCCATTGCTAATTGTTACATTCTATAAAAATTTACTCTTTTACCAGACTTACCACTTTTGAAGTTCTCTTGTTCCTTTCTTGCATGCTTGCTTTTTCTCTTCTTTCTTTGTATCTTACCCAGGCCTTACAGGTCCACTGTCCCTTACAGTAACACCTCGACCTCACCCTCCAAGTTTCCCTTTCCAGTGCCTCTCCTGATTGGTGTGTCAGAGATCAGCAGTGCAGAGCCCATGCTGGCCCCAATTCTGTACTTCTAAGCACTGGGATAGTGAGCTTGCTCAGGTAGGCTTGAATAATGGGTTCAGGTGCTGTCCTTGGCCTGGTCATTTTGGTCAGTCATGGCTACAGGTCTACATTTGTTCAAATGAAACCTTAGATTTTTCTCAGGCTGAGCATTCATCTAGGTTGCACCAAGTATTTTACCTTAACTGAGACAGTCCGGCACTTAACCACACACACCCATTTTATCTGTGCAGGGGGAGAATTGGCAATGCTCTCTGTATGGGCTGGCTTTCACAACATGGGGTTTTTCTTTCTGTTGCTTGTCACTTCACATTTTTAAGTTTGTCCAAAGTATGCTGCCAGAGATGGGGGAGAGAAATTTTCCCTTTTATCAGGTGCTTGGTGCCATCTGCCTGGTTCTTGCAGGTTAGCAGGGAGCACACCACATCTGCTGAGATCCCAAACGTGTCTTGGCTTATAAATTCCCTGCAGAACTTGCTTCCATCCTTTTTGTTTCACATGTTCTGCCCATGTGAAACAGATGTTCTGTAAGAATATGACTGGGTATGAATTTCCAAAGACATGCCTCAGGAATGAGAGAAGCAATGCCCTTGAAACCCTTCCTCTGTGGGCTACAAACTGATTTCTGTCTTTCTAAACACTACAGTTGGTGTTTTTTCTTAATTTCTTCAGTAACTTAGACATTATTGCAAGGTGCAGGATTTACCAGCTGGGCAACATTATCTGTTGGAGGTGCAGTAGGTGTTGCACTTTTGAGCAGACCATACATGACATGTTAATTATGCTGCTGACAGTCTTGGCATTTGGAGTGCCTTGGTTTTCCTCTTTTGACAGTCGCTAAAGGTCCCAGCTGTCACATCTGTGACTGACAGGACAGAAGACAACATATCCCTGTGGGCTTGCATTCTCTGTTTGGTATTCAGTAATGGCAGGCATGGGAAGCTCTCTTCCTGTTGCATTTCTATTGCTCTGGCTCCTTAGGGAGTATCTGAACTCTGCACTGTCTGTAACATGGTTTTGGTGGGAGTTTTTCCATGAAGGCAATGTGGTTGCCTTGAGAAACACCTCACTGCCTTGGCCCCATGCCTGAATGTCTTGGAGGAACTAGGACTCTGTAACAAGGACTCACCTGCCTGTCTGCAGTGTTCTGTATGGATTTAGAGGCACCTCTAGTCTGAACCAGAAAGTCAATTCTCATCGTCGCTCCTTCATCTCCTTCTTTTGGGCCCCCACAGTTGTCCAGACCTGTAAGCCCTTCTTCATTCCCACAGGCAGCCATCCCCTTTGATGTTCTTTGGGAGTAGGGGCCATTACAAAGAACTTTCTCTCTCTTCTACTCAGTACCATACTGTTGGTATAAGGACTTTTCCTCACCCTGAGGGCTACGTTGTTCTGGAGAAAGGCAGAGGCAGTTTGAGCTAAATGCAAAGAAGATATATCCAGCTTTCCCTGGGACTTATTAAAGGAGCCACAGTGAGCCCTCTTGTATTAGCCCTGCATGAAGGGGGTTTTGTTAAATGCTTTTACAGGTAAAGAGGATAAGGCAAGTGAGCCAACATGGTTAAGCTTCGTAGAGGGGAAAAAAAACCCCAAAAGCCAAATAAACATGCATGGAGCATAATTTCTCTTAATCAAAACATATTCCTCTATCACTGTGAATTCTACCAAGAAGAGCAGACAGCTCTGGCAAGGATTTTCTGTGCCAAGGTTAGCACTGCATCCTCCCTTGCCACTTAACTGTAGTGGAACTTGTTTCTGTCTTGAATTAGCCACTGTGATGCTACCTGGGGTCTCAGTGGTGTTGGTCGCCAGGAAACAAAGCAAAACCATCTTTCTCTTATTACTTTCCTTTGCAAGCTATTGGATAAGTTCAGCTTTGAGACGGAGGGAGTAAGTAGAACAGAAAAAAAAGAGGATGGAGGCTTTTACTGTAAAATGGAGATGTCATCTTCAGATAACAAGAAGCCATTTCCTTGTACAGGAAAAATTCCGCTTCATCTATGGATGATAGGAAATATGGCTTCTGTCTTTCTTTTCTTAAAAAAGTGAAAGATTTTGCAAAAAAGAAGGAAAAAAGGAGAAGGCATTTATATATCTCCGTACAAATGTGACAAGCCTGTGAAAAGGGTACCAGGCAGCTGTCAGAAATGCAGGCTTAAGAGAAAAACTGCCTGTCCAAACTCCCTTCACAAAAAACCCTGCTGCTCTAAGAAGCTGCTTCATATTGTATCATGCTCTGTGGGGATCTGAAATGTATCTGTTTCACAGTGATTAACAGCAAGTCCTTTGCAGTTGATTGTTCTTTGAAAAATGTCAGACAGTACTTTGCATTAGCTGAGATCTGCCAGTTGCTTTTCCTTTTTCCTCTGTGCCACGACTCTGTCCAG